TAATATCAACATTTAGTAGCCTAATGGACAATGTCATTGGTAAAATATTACAAAAATTTCATAGACTCATTTCTTCAAACATAATCACATGAATTAAAAAGTAAGTAAGCAGGACATTTTTCAAGAGGCTAAATTTATTGAATTCAAATATCTAGGCAACCTGATCTAACTTGGTATAGTGGCAAAATTTGGGATACAGTAGGAATGATGGACTGCAAGCATCTTAGGCTGACTCTCCTAAATATTACCTTCGGGTTTTATACAAATACATGTAAACATATGCAGCATGGTGAAAAAGTCTCTAACAATACAAGCTCAGAAAATAAAAAGATAAATCACATCATATAACTCGGACTATACTCAGGTATGGACCAACCCTACCTTGTTCATAAAGTTTTGCTTTTATGAACTTATCTGTTATAGATGCTCTTGAATTTAAGATCACGACACCTTGGAGAAATAGATCTTTTTTTCTAGAAAAATCAACATATGTTTTTTTAGAAAACTAGCCAAAGTAATTTGAGAGTCTAAGCTGCACAAATGAATCAGTAGTGATTTGATATATTTGTTAAAGGATTAATTTCATGACTGCTTAACTCACTGACTTCTAAAAATTTAATGAAAACTGAAACAGTACTCTAGATCAAACTTATGAGATTTATTTTTCATAGAATATGCCCTTTTATATTCAACATGGAGGATTTATTATTTCAGATTATTGGTAACTGTTAGTGAAAATGTATAGAAAGGAATCATAATATAGTTACTGTCCTTCACCTATTACTTGGAGACTATTTGGAGTAATAGCATGAAATTTTGGTTGCTTAAGCAATGAAGATTTGTAAGGTCTTGATAATTGTAGTGAGATAGAAATTCATAAACACATACTCTCTTATTTGTATCCATTCAGTGAAGTCAATGAAAAGTGTTTATGACAGCATCTAAATTCGCAAGCGATAGTGTAGAATATTAACCATACATAAATTTTATATATATTAATGATAGCAGGAAATTAATAAAAGTGAATGCCAAGACCCTCAAGTTCAGTACTAATGTATGTTGTGATAAACCACTTCTATGGGATTATCTCTTTGAATTTCTTACAGTCAGCACAAAATATATAATTCAATATTTTGTGTTTCATTCTACTTAAGGCATCTTCTGGTTTAGACACCCCAAATAATTGGAAGAGCTAAGCTTAGTGAATGCCACTTTTGTTTTAGAATATGGAATCCCCTACCAAATAATCCTACACTTAATAATTTCATTTTAAAAACATATTTAGGGGCGTCTGGGTGGCTCAGTTGCTTAAGTGTCCGACTTCGGCTCAGGTCATGATCTCACAGTTTGTGAGTTCAAGCCCCGTGTCAGGCTTTGTGCTGACAGCTTGCTCAGAGACTGGAGGCTGCTCTGGATTCTGTCTCCCTTTCCGCCTGCCCCTCCCCCACTCACACACTGTCTCTGTTTCTCTCAGAAATAAACAAACATTAAAAAAATTATTTTTTTAATTTTTAAAAAAAATTTTAAAAAGTTAAAAAAAATTATGTTTTAAATAAACATTTTAAAAATTTTAAAAAAATTTAAATTTTTTAAAAAATTAAAAAAAATTTTTTTAATTATGTTTTAAATAAGCATATTTAAATTTTTTTTCAACGTTTATTTATTCTTGGGATAGAGAGAGACAGAGCATGAACGGGGGAGGGGCAGAGAGAGAGGGAGACACAGAATCGGAAACAGGCTCCAGGCTCTGAGCCATCAGCCCAGAGCCCGACGCGGGGCTCGAACTCACGGACCGTGAGATCGTGACCTGGCTGAAGTCGGACGCTTAACCGACTGCGCCACCCAGGCGCCCCTTAAATAAGCATATTTAAAAATTCTTTATGTTTCTCTGTTGACGTGTTAAATACTACAGAATAATTTGAGTGTAAAAATAACTACACACTGAAATTAAGATTTTTTTTTCATGTCTAACTACACAAAACACATTAGAGGAAAGATTTTTTATTTAATGATGTCTCAATAAAAAAGAAATGATGGATATTACATAAAATTTAAAAAGTGATGACAAAAGATATTCACATACAATATTTAGTTGTACTTACTATCTGGAGTAGTCATACATTTTCCTATCTGTTCTAGATAAGGGTAAGTATTCAAAATGACACATGATCCTCCCCATGCCCCATGACAATAAAGTGATACATTAAGGAAAAAAAAAAATCAAGATACCAAGTATCAACTAGATGGTAGATTTATTATTGCCAGTAGTACATTACTAAGTAAATGTATAAAAAAATAAACTGGGGCATCTGGGTGGCTCAGTCAGTTAGGTGCCAGACTCTTCAACTCCACTCCGGTCATGATCTCACGGTTGTGTGTTCAAGCCCTGCATCAGGCTCTGTACTGGGCATTAAGCCTGCTTAAGACTCTCTCTCTCCCTCCCTCTCCCTCTGCTCCTCCCCTCTTGCTCACACACACACCTGTACGTTCACACGTGCTTTCTCTCTCTCTCTCTTAAAAAAAAAAAAAAAAAAGAACCTACAATATAAATTTTCATTCATGTTGTTCACTTAACATTTAATTTTATTCAACCTTGTTACTTGACTGTTTTACTTCCCAAACCTTGTCACCTCAATGAATCATAATGATCAGGGAACATGTTATATTGTTCTAATTAAGTGGGCAGAAATCTCTAATATTTTTGCTTATTACTTTATATAATGTTATTGTGTTGCTGAATAAATGAATGAATTCTTACAGCATATTTCTTTAGGATTAGTTAGTAAAACTACTTGACTTTGAATTAGTCAACTTTTGTTTTCTCTGTGCATAGAACAGAATTTACAACAAATAGATGTGCATATTAAAGTAAACATGTAAGTACAATCAATAGAAAAACTTGAAAGTGTAAGGTTTGTCTTAGAGAAATCAAGAGTTTTACAGAACAATGACTTCTTTCCCTTAAAGAATAATTAATGTAAAAGAAGATAAATTTTATCATAAAATCTCTAAAAAAATACGACAAGATTAGGAAAAAATAGTAATGCCAGATGCTGGTAAATAAAAATCTTGGTATATGATATCATCTTTGTTACTGAAAAAAGAGGAGTATATATTGTATATCATACTCTGTGAGACACATTTATGTTCAACTGCAATTTCACATCAGCTGTTAAGTGGTCCTGAACCAAATGTCAACACCAGGACTCTTCTAGGTTTCTATACATGTTTAGATACCCTTTCTGTCTGTCATCTCTCTCCTGTTGAGTAGGTAATAATAATTTTTAAATAATTCAATAATGGGAGAAATAACTTTATTTTCTTCAAGCAAACTCTCCTTCTCTCTTATACCATGCTGCCTTTCTGTCAAATTTAGTTTGATCAGGCATAACAATGCCATTTTTATCTAAAAAAATTTTTAATGTTTATTTCTGAGGGGAGAGGGGAGGGGCAGAGAGAGAGGGAGACATAGAATCCTAACCAGGCTCCAGGCTCCGAGCTGTCAGCACAGAGTCCGACGCAGGACTCAAACCCACTGGCCGCAAGATGATGACCTGAGCTGAAGTCGGACGCTTAACAGACTGAGCCACCCATGTGCCCCTTAAAATGACACATGCACCACAATCTCGGACTTCAATATGGTTGTTACTTCCAAGAAGTAAGCAAATACTTAACTGGAGTATTTTGTGATTGTTTAACACAAACATTTTGGGAAGCTTTTATCAAATGATAGATTAAATAATGTTTGAAAATATTTTCAGAGTTAAGATTTACTGAGTGGTGACTGTCAGTAATGGGTCGCAGAGCTTTTCCAAGTGACAATTTATGTAATCCTCATGACCTTATAAATCAGGAGTGATCATCTCCAGAGGAGGTACCTAAGTACAGGCAGCTGACTTGCCGGGTCACACACAGCTACAAAGTGATGGATCCAGAGCTACAAACCAGGCTCTCTGAGGACTGAACCTTGTGCTCCATCTAGGCACATGCCTCTCAATAACAGCCATTCGGTTTTAAAGAATGTCGAAGGTATTTTTACAAGCCAGTGAAGAAGAATTAATAGTCGATAGTGGACTTACTGCTTTGGTCATTTCATTCAGATCGAAAAACCTATTTCTCCTATATGACATACTCTGAAACCTCTCGTAGCTTCACTAACATCACCCTTCCGCACCTAACACATTACAGGCACCGATCGCCATCACTATCAGCCTTGGCTTTGGTGGACCCACGAAAGGGAAATAAATCGATTCAGAAAATTTTTAATACATCTCTGCTCACATACACAAAAAACAAAAATAAAAAAAAATACATTGTAAATGAATACGCTATTTCTGGGCATAACAATTAGAGAGAGGTGAAATAAAGTTCAAAAAACACTGATACCTGATTTCCACCCATAAGGATCTAATGTCAGCGTAATCTCGTCCATCTAGGAAGCCCAGATGAATATAAAAGCTCATGTTACCATCCACAAGCGCGCAAATACACTGAGTACAACAAAGCCTTATCTTACTGATCTTTAACTTTCGAGGCTTGCAACTTGTTAGCCATTGGTTTGAAAACAGTATTATTTAGGTGGAGTCATCCATTTCCTTTGGCTCCAGACAAAGCCATTCTCACGTGCCACCTACAGCAGCAACTGGTGCTTCAAGCCTTGATTAACCTTATACCCACTTTGGTAGTGACAGAAAACGAACACGAATGAGATGCTGGTTCTCACCGGTTTTTACGCAGATTGCCCTCATTTGCTGTGACATGGTACCATGTGGGCCTGTAAGCTGGTCTCACCAGCTATGCCTTATTGAATAACAAAGGGGATAAATACTTCAGGAAGATGAAAAGGAGAAGGGGGTAAAAGCAAACAAGCAAACAAAAACCCCTGTGACCTGACATTATGGAAAAAATAAAAAAGACACTAAGATGAAAAAAAAATAGTGTCATGGTTTACATGTGGGATTTTGATGGAATCTAGGGCTGTGTTTTAATTCAAAACTCACCATCTCAAAACCACTTCTTTTCATCCGCCTGCAGGACTTGAGGTAAGTACGTATACGTTTTCTGGCACGCTCTTGATACTCAGGGAACTGTCGCCTGCATGAGTCAATGATAGCCTGGATCTTTTCTTTGGGCTGCTTAGAGATTGGGACCATTCGGTCCAAGTTTTCATCTACAAACAGCCTGACAAACATCTGTTGGCAAGAGGGAGACAGAGGAGAAGGGTTTGGAGGACTGCTCTCTGCTGTTCCTAGCTTCCTGTCTTGATTACCGATAGGAAAATACTCTTTTCTGCTTTATGCACTGGAGAACTTTGCAATGGAAAGCCAGAGATTTTAAGCAAACACCTCTTAAAGGCTTTTTAAATGGTTGGATAAAAAAAAAAAAAAAAACTAGAGAGAAAGAGAGAGAGAGGCAGACAGACAGACAGACAGACAGAAAAGTATAGACTATCATGTAGGAAAAAAAAATTCAGGAAATAACAGCAGACTGTGACAATTAAGCACCCCATAAAATTCTCCATTAATGATCAGTATGGCTGCTACATTGCTACCCTGCACAGTGTGCTAATCTCTGATAACAAGGGGGACTCTTTTGTCATGCATAATTAGATAAGCCAGGAAGGCAAAAGAAATAACTGATGACAGGCATACTCTTGCGAGGAATAAGCGGAGACCCCCTCATCCTCTAGGTAAACATGCATACTCACACAACACAAATCCAGTTTTCAGCTCACATTTGGCTGTAAAATTCTAAACAAAACCCAGCAATTCTGGTGTCTGGTTGGCAAAGAGAGTTTCATGTACTTTTTAAATCCTTCTGTAAATTAAACAAACACGTCTCTAGAACATCCACGTTTACCAACAAGCAACAACATGAAAGTGAAGTGGTAAAAAGTAACCCACGTGGGCGGGGAGGGGGGGCGGTGGTGGGACTCACATTGAAAGCTTTCAGCCGCTCTGCCTCAACGCCATCAGTCTCGTTAACTTTCTCAGAATCGTCGTGGTCATCGTGGTCGTCTTCATCCTCATCGCCCCTGTTTAGAGACAGGTCCTCGGCACCTCGGTCTACACTCTCATTTTTGCCAGAGTCGTAGCTTGAGTAGCTGTGTGCAGGAGACTGAAAAGAAAATGGGGGGAGGGGGGATTGCTGCTTTGAAATTCATCACATAGCTTATAAATTTTATTTTAAAATTTCAACTATTACGTAAAAATCTTGTTGAAAAAGTTAATGCCAGACTTGGGGCTGTTTTCATTTGAATCAAAAGTAATTAAGACTAGATTAAAAATTCATTTCCCAAGTTACACCAGCCACATTTCAATAGCTACATGGATCATTTCTATCACTGCAGGAAGTTTTTACCGAATTTGGCTTTTCAAGAGCAAAGATAGTTTCCACTCAATGTACATAGTCTAGAAAAGAGAGAAAAAAGAAAAAAGACAGGAGAGCCAACCTATAATCACTTTTGCAAGAGAATCATTGAATCATATATTCTTAGAAACAAATGACCTCAGAGCTTAGTCAATCTAACTGCTTTAGTATTTTTTAAACAGATTAGGAAACTGAGGGGTGGATATATTTAATTACTTTGCCCAAGAAGGACTATACAAAATATTGATACCAGGCTGCTATTTATAAGCCACAGGCTTGAAAATCAGTTTTTAAAAGGTCTGTGAGTCTTAGGATGGCATCTAACTTTGGTCTAGAGAAAAGGAACCAGGTTTCCTCTGAATCATCTTTTAAGTTGAATGTTTTCTAAAGCTTAGTAGATGAATGCCAACCAACAGTTTTCACAAACCTTGATAATTGTGTTCAAGAGCAACCATGGGTCCCACTGTGGAAACTTCTACTTCTTTGTCAGGGAAGTACCTTTTCCTTTCAGAAATAGCTTCTGCTTCTCCAGGCAAAAGTGCCAATTATAGGGCATCAGCCTTCTCTACCCTAGAGGTGCCCCAACTTTACCCCTATGTAACTGAAATCAAGTTGAATCCCACAGGACTAAGAGGAACAAAAGTCCTAATAACATCATCTGAGATTCTAGATTCAACTGTGCCGGAAATTCACCCACAGTTGAATTCAGCTGTGTGATACTGTACATCTTCTACACCACCCCCTTAGTTTTTTTCTTTGCCTAAATCTGAGTTTTAGTCCTTTGCAATTTAGTCTGGAGTGGTACAGAAATTATTATAAGTCCAGATTAACAACCCAAATTTCACATACGGTAACTTAGGTACAAAGGTGGCCTCAGCTAAATGGATAATATCTCTGTCAACAGCGGCAGCATTTTCCCATTAACAAAGTAAAATGCTTTAGAAAGAACTTTACAATGGAAAATTTTAAATCAGCAGTGTTCAAAAATGTCTGTGTGCAATGATAACGTACGTGTAGTATGTTTTAAGGATCACACTATTATTACTACATAAGCAGAGGAAGAATAATAAAACTAGAATAGGTCACTGATACTAAAAATAAAGCTAAAATGGGGGTGCCTGGGAGGCTCAGTTGGTTAACCGTCTGACTTTGGCTCAGGTCATGATCTCACAGTTCATGGTTTCAAGCCCCAGTTCAGGCTCTGTGCTGACAGCTTGGAGCCTGGAGCCTGCTTCGGATTCTGTGTCTCCCTCTCTCTTTCTCTGCCCCTCCCCTGCTCACTCTCTGTCTGTCTGTCTGTCTCTCTCTCTCTCTCAAAAATAAATAAAACATTAAAAAAATAAAGTTAAAATTTAAAAACCAGTATATTTGACACTATATCATTGTAATATTATAATAATATTTCAAATTGTTAACAAAGTAGATTTACAAAATAAAACATAAAGCAAATATTCCATAGGTTTGAAAAATATAGCATATATATTTTTTTAAATGCCAAAGTACAACATTTTAAGTGTTATAATACACTCATATGAATGCAAATAAGCTGGGCTAATATATTCTTTCTATTGCCATGTGAAACACGCAACCTAGCCATCTGCTATAAATAGAACCATTTGGAATGATGTAGGATTTACACCTCTAGTCCCTCTAGCTAAAAAAAAATCCAGTCTTACAGATCTGAGAATATTCAGAATCTAAATCTAAAGCATAATCAGTTTTTCCCTCTACAATATAAACTGAAATTTTTATAATTCTGAATCCAGTTTCTCAGCTGGAATGTCATTTTCTGCCTCTGCCACTGTTGAAGACAGAACTAGATTTCAAGGCCACTCTGAGTAAATTCAGTTTCCACAGATTCCCTCTTCTACCTCAGTCTACTTCAATGTTTCTCTAAACTGTGAACTCTTAATATGCTATGGCATTTGACATAAAATTAAAGACTATCATTGCTCTCTACTTCTCATGTTCATTTGCATTTTCTTTTAAGCTACATGGAGACAGGAATCTCAATAGCACATGACCTTCTACTTCTTCCCTACAGCAACAAAGAAATGCTCTCTACAGAAATAGCACTTAAGGCTTTTTGCCGGACCCAATTTTCTACAAAACTATTTGGTCTTTAAAAATGGAGGAATGAAGACAAGCCACAGATTGGTAGAAAATATTTGCAAAAGACACATCTGATAAAGGACCGTTAATCAAAATATACAAGGAACACTAAAAACTAAATGATAAGAAAGAAAACGACCTGATTAAAATATGGCCAAAAACCTTAAGAGATACCTCACCACAGGAGATAATCAGAGGGCAAAGAGGCCTATCAAGAGAGGTTCCACAACATATGTCACCGGGGAAATGCAAATTAAAACAAGGAGATGCCCTTATAGGGCCAAAATCTGGAACACTGTCAACATCAAATGTTGATGGGGATGACGAACAACAGGAAATCATTCATTGCCAGTGGGAATGCAAAATGGTACAACCACTTTAAGACAGTTTGGCTTTTTCTTTCAAAATTAACATACTCTTCTCATATGGTCCAGCAGTCATATTCCTTGGCATTTACCCAAGGAGTTAAAAACTATGTCTACACAAAAAACTGCAGAGGGATATTTAGAGCAGCTTTATTCATAATTTTTAAAATTTAAAAGCAGTCAAGGGGCGCCTGGGTGGCTTAGTCGGTTAAGCATCCGACTTCGGCTCAGGTCATGATCTCGCAGTCTGTGAGTTCGAGCCCCGCGTCGGGCTCCGTGCTGACAGCTCAGAGCCTGGAGCCTGCTTCGTATTCTGTGTCTTCCTCTCTCATTGCCCCTCCCCCACTTGTGCTCTGTCTCTATCAAAAAATGAATAAATGTTAAAAAATTTTTTAAAAAAGCAGTCAAGATGTGCTTCAGTAGGCGAATGGATGCATAAACTGTAGTACATCCAGGTAATGGAATATTACTTGATACTAAAAAGATATGAGCTAAAAAGTCATGAAAATACATGTTACCAAGTGAAAGAAGCCAACCTAAAAAGGCTACATATCACATGATTTGAACTATAAGACATTATGTAAAAGGCAGAACTATGAACAGTAAAACGATCAGTGGTTACCGGGGGTTGGGGTGTGAGGAGGGATGAATAGGCAGAGCATGGAAGCTTTCTAGAGCACTGAAAATACTCTATATGATACGTGTCATGATATATTTGTACAAACCCATAAAAAGTACAACACCATGATTTCTAATATAAACCATGGACTTTGGGTATCTATAATTCATCAATGTAGGTTTATCAATTATAACAAATGTACCACTCTGGTAAGTAATGTTGATAATGAGGGAGGCTATACATGCCTAGGGGCAGTGGGTGTATGTAAATCTCTATACCTTCCTCTCAATTTTGCTATGGGGCCCTAGGTGTATTTTTGCCTTAATTATATATTCCATTTTTTTCCTTTCGACATAACCTGTGGTTCTCAGCGAAGACCTATTAAAAATACATTTGCTCTTCCATTTTCTAACATTTTTACCACGCTAATAAAACTGCCAGCTCTGGACCTTGAACCCCACCCCCCACCCCCCACCCCCCAAAAAGGAAGCTTCATCTGTTTGCTTACTCTGTGGTCAGAGCATATAGAATGGCTAAGACAGCAATATCACAGTGCTTGATAGGAGATGCAGCTGAGGCCAGAAGAGCCATTTCTGATATATGCAGCCAAGGAAAATAAGGAAAAACCTTTCATTTCTTTATTATACCCTAGAAAAGGGAAGAATCTCACGAATTTAGTGCCAGGCAATCATGGTTTCATTATAGTCTGTATGTTGCCTCCATGTCTTGGGAATTATAAATAATATAATGAACATGGGAATGAATATATCTTTTACAGTTAGTGTTTTAATTTTCTTTAGACAATAATCCAGAAGTAGAATTGGTGGATATGATACTTCTATTATTGATTTTTTGAGAAACATCCATGCTGTTTTCCATAATGGCTATACCAATTTACATACCCACCAACAGTGCACATGGGGGGGTTCCCTTTTCTCCAAATCCTAGTCAACACTTGTTAGTTCTTCTGATTGTAATGGTAGCCATTCTAACAGGTGTGAGGTGATAACTCATTGTAGTTTTGATTTGCATTTCCCTGAGGATCAGTGATGTCGAGCATCTTTTCAGATGTCTATTGACCATACGTACACTTTCTTTGGAAAAATGTCTACTCAGATCCTCTGTCCATTCTTTAATTGGATTGGTTTTTTGTTTTGTTTTGTTTGTTTTTTGGTGTTCTTTATGTATTTTGGATCTTAACTTCTTATTGGATATATAATTTGCAAATATGGTTTCCCATTCAACAGGCTGCCTTTTTGTGTTGTTGGTTTCCTTAAGTGTGCAAGAGTTTTTTAGTCTGATGTAGTCCCACTTGTTTATTTTTGCTTTTGGTGTCACATCCAAAAACACATCACCAACACTGACATCAAGGTAATTACTGCCTGTATTTTCTTTCAGAGTTTCATTGTTTCAAGTCTTATATTCAAGTCTTTAATCCATTTTGAGTCTGTTTAGGTGTATGGTGTAAGATAGTGGTTTAGTTTCATTCTTTTGCATGCAGCTGTCCAATTTTCCCAACATTGCTTATCGAAGACATGGTCTTTCCCCGTTGTCTATTCTTGGCTTTATCCTAAGTTGACCATACACGCATGGGCTTATTTCTAGGCTTTCTATCTGTTTCACAGATCTGTGTGTCTGTTTTTTTTTTTTTT